GTCTTATGTGTTGTGTGTCTATACGTTTTGTCTGAGTGCAGGTATTTATTAGCGTGAATGGCGAGGGGTGAGGGTGAAATATAACTTCATCATCGCCCCACGAACGTTGAGAGCGTAGTGTGTGTGTGTGTTCGGGGTCGATGGCGGAATATTTATAAAAGTACTCCATCGACCCCAATCTAGTTTAGTTTGAGTATGGGTCGGTGGAGGAATATCAAGTACTCCATCGACCAAACGGAATGAGTGTATTGTAAGGATGTATTTGTGATGTATTGATGAATGTGTGTGAATGTAGTGTTTGAAAGTGTTAAAAGAATATAGACTTAGCTGGGGGCTGAAATAACCTAGATGCCGGAAGCCCCAGTCAAAAAAGAAAAATTTGTTTCTCTGTTGTTTAGTTTCATTTAAAATTTCAGGAAAGAGTTTGNTATGTTTATTTTTCTAACGGGCACAACACATGGTACGATAGACCAGCAAACGTTATTACCCAATTATTGTTTAAGAGGCGAGGAATTATCAAGCTATCGACGTTTATAGCGAATTGACGGATTCTCTGAATGAGATAGTTACAGAAGGCAGGAGGATCAGAATGGATGAAAAGTTGGTGTGGAAATTTTAAAAGCAAAATGCAAAGCTGTGGATGATGAGGTTAGTGATGCTACAAGAAAATTTGAAAAATTGTCTCAAGACTTTTAATTGAAAGGAGATGCTATGAACTTCGAATGACTTGGAGGAACCCCCACAGTTCTACTCAGTATGTCGAAAGTCGACGCAGTACTTTCATAATACAGTGAGTTTAGGCTTGGCAAATTGTCGGTGAACGTATGGCTAGAAAACCGTTCTAAAAGTTTCAGTATCTCCATACTTTCTGTTTAGTCTGGCTCTTAAGCCATGAGGGGGATGACACGTCCTGTTGCTGTATAGATATATATTGTATCAGACCTGAGTGGATGTCAGTTGCGACTTGTAGTTGATGCCCAAAAGGGGGCAAGACTGGTTTTTAATGTAAATGAATTCTGGTTATATTTTTGTTCAATCAGTCAGTTGCTCCGACAAATGGATAGGATTTAGGTTATGAGTAATGTAAGCAGTATAAATGGTGTGCAGGGTGGGACAAAGAATACTACTTTGTGGGACGCCAGCTTGTATCACTCTGATTTCTGTTGTAAGATATTGGAGCGTGTTTCGGTAGGACTCGAGCTAGAAGACAGAATTTCCCAGTCATCCACATAGGTCGTAATGATGGTGGTGGTATTGTATCGGTCTGATATCAGTTCTTCGATTTTAGAGCTTGTTTGGATAGAATTCGAGCTAGAAGACAGATTTAAATTGTCATGCTCAAAGTGGTAAAGATGGTGTTGAGATGTGTTTGAAAATCAGCAGTATAACTGCCTAACTTGTATCCAGAATGGGACTAACAACCCTCCATTGTGGAAGGCCGAGCAAGTATCAGTTTGGCATCTGAGTATTCTTTGCCGCACGTCATCCTGAACCAGGGAAAAATAAGTTATGATAATGTAATAAAGAGTGGGCAGAAATAGTTTAAAAATGATGAAATGGTGTCAACTAACTCTTCTGAAACATTTCTGGATCGTTGAATGATAGAGAGGGTAGCCGAATTGGTGAGACGAATTATGTGGATTAAGGATGGGTATTAAACATTCTAAGTTTGTAAGATTTATGAATGTGAATGAATACTCCCATAAGAAGAATAAAACAATAATCCCCTTTTTGATAAATATCCAACCTATCTGCATTTCTAACGTATCTTCCTTAAATAAGAGTCAAATTTTGGCAAAGAGACTGAAAAAAGGGGAAAATTCTCGTTATAGTTTTGACAATTATATAGTTCAGAGTATTATTAATTTCGTGTCAATCTTCTGAATAGGTCAAGAAAAGCCCTTTCGTGCACGTCCATCACCTTAGCATATCCGAACTTGACCCACTTTAATGAAAACATTGTTTCATGTTTGACGAGGTGGAGTAGGACTTATATTTATTTTATTTGATCCTTCTTACGAAGGAAACATAATGTTAATGCAAAAGTCAAATAATGAATATCTAAATACCCTGGAAGGTTTTTATTCGATATGTCCAATTTTAGTAGTGTTCCTATTACTAGCACAAATCCCTCTTTATTATCTTTGTATTAATTTCGTAACAATTTTGTGCCAATTTTAATAATTTTAAACAAGTTTAAGTAAAACAAAGTCTATAAAGACATTTTACTACGTTTAATTTTCTGTTCTGATGCCTGAAACAAACTTTACAGAGCTGTCGAAGTGGCCCTGTGAGAATTCAGATGAAATTGTCGGCCAGGCGTTGCCTCTTGTTGCTGCAGTGCGGATTAGGTGAAATCTTTAATTCCTTGACTACAATACTACATAAATGTAGTTTCAGTTTTGCGGTGGGGGTTAGTGACAGAAACAATTTGGATATGATTCCAAGTCTATGGTTCTGTGGTGATCAGTTGATTCCGTTGCCAGGGAGTGCCTAACTCATGGTGTAATGCATTCTGATTGGGAAAAACAATAATATATTAGTATTTACTGAAATTTAGTATGTGGCTACAGAAATAATGTTCTTGTCTTCAGACATTTATGAAATTTAAGAGAGATGTTTTAAAACTGAGGTAAGTTTCTTAATTATCTTATTAAAATTCAGCTAGATCCACGATTTGATCCGCTACACTTGTAATCTTCATGAAGCATGCAGGAATATGCATGAAGAAAATTTAAAGTCATATTAATGTTTTTTGCGGTGAACCTGCCAAAAGATTAGATTAGGATAGGCCTTGAACCAGACATATGTATGGCTATTTTTATAGTTATGATGCCTAGGCAGTAAATGCTGCTCTAACCATTTGATCTATTGTAACTTCTGTCCTCTGGGACATCAACTCATCATTTCAACCTACATCTTTTCAAATTGCCCTCATTTTGCCATATATTTCAAATTTTCATCTTAACCACACTTTGCATAAAAATTGTAAATTAATTAACATAACGTTGGTTAAGTAGGACCAAGTAAAAAACATATGTATTAATATAATAATTACTATGCATATTTTCCCTTTGTGAAATAAATTTCTAGATCCAGCTATAAAAAATGTCCACCCTAACTTCTAATCCTACACTAATCCCATGTACTCCTCCGTAATGTAACCTCATGCAACCTCCCGTTCTCTTCCCAATAATCGACGTTTAAAAAGACAGTCGCCCCGTGAGTTGCTCTCAGAGAGTGCGGGGGATTAAAACGAATAAATAATTTACCATTGCTGTCACTGGATAGCTTACTCATTATTTTCTTGTTTAGTTATCTCCGTGTGATATGTTTATCTGTATCTTATTACGCCTCGTGCAGTTTGTTCAATACAAAGTTTAGATGTTAGTGAATTAATTTCAAGGTTTTGATGCAGTTTATCTTAATTTTCTATTTAAAAAAATATATGCAAATCATTTTTATGAATTATACCTTCCTTAAGTAATGTTTTACTCGCATAATAAAATATTAATTTTTTAATTTACAAAATAACTGCCGCATTATAATTGGCTTGAATTACACGAAATCAGCCATTTTCTTCAATAGTGTTAAGCATGATAAACAATTAATTTAATGATATAACATTTTATGATATTATTTTGGTTCAGGATACATTCGAAAATAGCAGAAAAAAATGTAAAAATCCCATAAACTTACAATCACGTTTGGTTTGTTTTAAGGAACATAAATTGAACTTTTTCTGTAAGGGACATTTATTTACGGAAATATCTTCAGAACTACACAACTTAGCACGCTATGAAGTGGATTAAAAAAATGAATTGGTTACATGGGAACTCCATTCCACGAACGCCTTTGCATAAAACTGCCTATTTCATTCCTTGGGAATCCCATATTTGATATAAATGTTTCTTTTTATTCGGAGGGTGGCTCCTTTAGGCGACTGAATCTAATAAAAGTTAGGGAAAGTAAAAAATATAATCCTGGCATTTGATAACGAAAAGTCCTCCGCATCAGTGATCCTTGATACAGGGAATAAGCTTAGACTTTTGAGAGTTTTCGGAGAGAAAAGCCCAGATTCTCCTTCGAATACCCCGTCCTCCTTATTTTCTTTTCCTGGATTTCACGGAGGTTTGAATAATGTGTATTATGGAAAAAAATTCACTGTATTAAAACACCAGCGATGGCCTGGGAAGTGAAAAAAAGTTTCGAACTTTTCGTGGGCGGTCGGGAATAAAGGATAGAGCTCAACATGTACAGGCAATTATTGGCTTCTTTAGGAATAAATGAAACACATATAATTACGATTCACTTTGAAATAATTTCAGGGAATATTAAACTTTTCCCGGTGTGAATTCATATATCTTCTAACCGTTCGGCTCCCACCTGTGAACACTAGGAGTGTGTTTATTGGGCAAGTTCAGTCCTGTGAGACATATAGAGGTATTAAATTCGAAATAATTGTTATTATTTACCCGAGTTTAAGGCGTTATCGTTATGCTTGCCGGTTAATAGGTAACATACTTTACATCGCAAAACGTACTCACACCACAACTAAAGCATTTAAATTGTGTACCATTTAAGCACCAGATGGTATTATATTAACCAGTTCTTGCGAAAAACCTGTCTTACTTTTAAATAGCTGCCAACGCGGTAACATTGCATTCAAAGTTTCAATTCTGTCAAAACGAATTTATTCGATCTTTTTCACACCTCCCACAATGCACACGCATCTCAAGGGAAAAAGCAATTTGATACAAGTACATGTTACAATCCGACCTGGTAGAGCAAATGACTATAAATAAAAAGTTTAAAAACTTTACAGAAACAGAACAATTTATATGTTTTATTCATAATCTTCAAAAAGATTAATTTATATTAATTTATTTATTAAATAAGTTCTTACTATTATTGTACATACAAGGTAAGAAATACAAAAATAATTTTATCCACGTAAAAGCTCTATGTACGGACTTCTAATTTTTAAACTTTATTTTCAGGTAATTGTTACTGGCTTAAAGCTATCTTCGAAACCGAAATACTACGTAAGTCTTTAAGTTTTTAAATAATTGAGTTGTAGCCAGTACATAATCACATTACAATTATGACTATTGTGTATATATTATTTTTTATACTTTCACAACATTGATAATATAACCAGTATTGCATCGGTAAGTTTTAAGGGTGGAAAAGTAAAGAGAAGGTTTGGTCAGTACATTATTCAGGTCGTGGATAATGAGGTTACTGATGCAGTTATGTATACATACAAATGGTCGCTGGATTTTGATTGGAAGAAGCTTTGAATAACGAATGGCTTCGATAGAATCAAACGATTCCACTCTGTATATCCAATTCGTCGCTGTTCATTTATAGAGTTCCTTTGGTTTTGAAAAATTAGCGTAGAAAATGTTTTACAAGTCTTGGTCGTCCTAGTCTTCTGTTAAATCTGCTCTTAAGTCTTGAGTGGGGATTCTATGTTAGGTTGTTGTATAGATATAGTTCTTAATAGGTCTGATAGTTGTTCTTCGATGTTGGAGGTTGCTTGTATAGGATTCAGTTTAGAAGACAGAATTGCGATGACATTTGTGTAGAAGGTAATGACGAAGTTGGGATGAACAAGAAGGCCAGCAGTATAAATGGTATACAGGATGGTACCAACTGTGATTCCTTGTGGGACGGCTCTTGTGTGAATCATTTTTACTGTGCAAATTTTTCTTCATTTAATCTTCCGCCTTTGGCATCAGTCTTTGGTTAGCTAATAATAAGGATGTTAGAGGTTGCTTGAATTGGATTCAGATTAGAAGACAAATTTACAGTACCGAATGAATTGGTTGATGGTATGGGGTAATAGGAAAGTAAACAATATAAATGTTATACAATATGGGACTAGGAATGCTCCCTTGTGAGACGCCCGCTTCTATGGGCCTAATTGAATTGGACTATTGGACTACTACTCCTTGGCAGAATATCCTCTTACACAGCAGTCAGATAAATAGGAGTCCAAGATAACGTAATGTTGACTTGGTAGCAAGCGTTTGCATTTATGGAATATGGCCGGTATCAAAAGCCACATCAGGAACGTAACCAAGCAATCTCTTTGTATAGATCAGAGTAAATAGTGTCAATAACTTTAAAACCTTGCTGCACTCCTAGAAGGAACGTCGTTTATAATAAATCGATAAGATAGTAAAAGGAATACATAGGGTAGAATTGTATATTTTAGTTTAAAAAATGGCCTTCTGAGGAAGATTTGATTTATATTGCAGATATGTAATTAAGTCATATACGGGATTTTCTACTTGGGTGTTTGTGATTGCAGTATATTTGAATATTAAAAATCTAAAAAATCCAATCAATTTAAAGGTAAACATTCTTTGTGTGTAGTGGGTTGCCTAATTGCCCTACAAATTATATGCTTGCATAAAATCACTATTCCAACTTGAACTATCAAACCCATTCATTATTTGTGAACGATTCTCTCATATGTTAGTGTTAAAGCAATTATTGTACTTTAACGACTCTAAAGATGAAAAAGGCGTATTGTGTTGTCTGTGAAATATGTGTGGCCAGGTTGTTCTCTCAACAAACATAAAGCGCTGCTTTCGAATTCCATTATGGAGGCCGTAAAAATTAATGACGAAGGTAAATAAGTCGACAAGAACTTTAAAGGGACTCCGAAATATACCCGTAGACAATGAAATGATAATTTTCAAACCATTACTTCGCTTATATATGGATTAGTGTATTAAAACGTAACGATGGGAAAATAATCCTCATGGTTTTCAAATCGGGTTTATGGTCGCTAAATTTATCTTTCTCTTGCGACGACTTAAGAACATTATCAGATTATTATAAATATTATAGTCATTTTTCTCAAGAGGATGGCTCGTAAGTTAGGATTTAACGACTGAAAGCGCTACGAGATCAATTCATGTGGCTAAGCGTTTGCTGTTCATAAAGGAAACGGTGAACATCAAAGGAGAGGAATTTTCATTTGCCGAGTATCCGTCGGTCACATAACTGGGAAAGGAAATGAGGAATTGTACAGTATAAAGCTTTTTATATTATATAGAGGTGAAATTCACTTATAAATGCAAATCATTCTGTTGTCAAATGATCATCCGGCTTCCAACGCTTTTTCTTCCCATTCTAGAAGTGAACCTGTGAAATCGTGATTTACGCAGATCGTTTCTTTAACATATTGTAAAAAAACCAACGTCAATAATCATAAATATATGTAAATATTTTGTGAAATTAATCCGGGTAATCCACAAGTTAATTACAGTTTGTAATTAAATTGAGATGATCTACATCAGTGTTTCCCATCGTTTTTTGTGCCATGTCCCTCTTAGAATTTTTCAAATCTCTTTTGCCCAACTCCTCAACCCCAACGTGCATAATCTATAATATTAAAATGCTCATTGGATAAAGTTAAAAATTATTGGGAAAATCACTATAGAATAATTGATAAAACACAGGAACCAATGTTTTTAAACCCCACAACCATGTTCCGCGTCTAGGACGTTGGAACGAAATATTTAATAAATTATTTGAACTGGAAATGATCTTGTGATGTTCTTCAATTTCTAAAATAAGTTATTCTCCTTTACCGCACCAATATGTAGACACTGCGATCAAACGTGATTTTTTTAAATAGTAGTCGTTGGTGGTCGGTAAAGAGTTTGTTTCGAACACGCCACCTGATATTCATGTCCGAAGTATTTTTAATAAGGAAATCTGGTAGGTTCAAATTATACTTCGTCGCAAAATAATTGACTTTTCTCTCTATAACGGGTTCATTGTTGAAAAATATTTGACGGACATTAATTGATACCCACCTAAAGTAAAAAATAGTAAATTTCAGTAAAAAATTCGAAAATCTGATTAACCTTATTTTCTTATAAAGAGTAAAAACTCCATATGAATGAAATATCGGATAAAATGCTTTCCTCATGTAAAGTATTATCTTAAAAAGTAATATTTTCGATGCTCGGAATGTATTTCATTGTGTTTATTTTCCTTCACCTGATAAATCAGTTATATTAGTCCGCAATAGCAAATTGCTAATTAATATTATATCATGTGAAATATTGCGATGTTTTGTTCAGTCGGAAAATCATCACTTGCATTGTTCTCGATTATCAAGTTGTGTGCGATTACATAGGCTTGCTTCTTAAATTATGAGGCTCAGGCTCATAAATTTTATTCAACATTAAAATTATGATATAAAAAGATAGGGATTATAAATTGCAAAGTATTGTTTGTATATAAAAATCAAAACGCCACATCTTATTTTCAATTCATTGCTTTACAGATTTGGCGTATACTGTCGAGATGTTAATATGCAAAAGTCAGTATTGGTAACAAATTATATACACCTATAATATTCCATTTATGGTGTTATGTAATAGTTATTGAAATTTTAGTATTAAATTTTTTCCTTTCATAAAATCGCGAATAGCTCGTATCTATCTGCATATTAATATTAATCCTAAATTTACCCAATGATTATTTGAAGATCGTGAGATGAGGTCTGGTGTGACGTAGGTTTCAGAAAAACATTTTCTTTATCGTGCCAACGTTTCAATATTGAGATGATCTCAATAAAGATCGAAACGTTGACACGATAAAAACATGTTTTTCTAAATCCTACGTCACACCAGACCGGATCGCACGATCTTCAAATAATCATTAACTAACGGCCACTAAACCCCATACATTTACCCAATGATTAAACAAACATTCGTTCGTCATTGACAATTTAATATAAATATCGTTTATTTGTCAGTTTAATGAAATATACTGAAAATGAAAAATCGATATTTTACAAAGATTTTATCGAACAAAAATTTAAATTAATGGAGTGATGATGATACCTGATGGCGTAGTCCCTACTTTGGGAAACACTGACTCATCCACATGTATATTGTCAAATTTTAACAAATTACTAAATTATGTTTTAGTTAATTCTGGTTTGCACAAAAAAAGTATTTTCAAATAAATATAATAATACAGCTATAAAATGTATTTGTTGCATAGAGAGCAGAAAACTACATTGTTTGGTACCTATTTATTTATTTAACTACTAATTTTTGTACCGGGTACAACTTACGGGAATTGGTCTTACATAGTTTTTTGACTTTACATATCAACATATTTCTGAATATAGCAAGAATCAAAATTAAATAAATAATAATGGCACTGATAGTTAGTTATATCTAAAACAAACATTTTAAATAACTAAAAATGCTTATAAATAAATAAATGAAACAACAATAAATTAGAGTTGATGATGGGTGTTGGTCTACGCGTTGGTGAACTTATGCTGAACTGGCATAGGGTCACTTATTGGGTCCGTCTTCAATCGCGGGTTTGTTGAATTAACCCAAACGCGTTATACAAACCCTCGAGTAAAGACGGACCAAATAAGAGAACCTATGCCGCTTTAGAAAAATAAACTAAGCATTTATATTAATATAGTCAATTAAGCCATTAAACATAAATGGATTGATAAATAAACTAAGCTTTGAATTGATAGCCCACTAAAATATAATATCAAAAGCCTGTGTAGCTAAAAAGTAAACAACAATACATTTGCTAAAAACAAAAACAAAAAATCAAGAGGAAAGAATATATACTAGGGTGAATAAGTTATTTGCCCATCAATCTATTGTCATTCTTTAATTGTGAGGGATTATTTAAATTAAAAAAAACGCAATCCAACATCCGGATAGTGTCATCTAATTGACAACCAATCTCTTAGGACTTAGCCGTCTCATGTCGCAGGGACAGAACCTTATTCCACAATGTTCCAATCTCACAAGTCTAATAGATTTAAAATTAATTTCAACTTTTATGTAGTGGTTGAAAAGGCTTTAAAAAAATTTCAATTGGACTTTGGAGATCTCCTCGGGATGTTTGAATTGCCCAGATTTCATAGGATAATAAAGATCCAAAGCCATACAACAATTTCAAAATGCGGAATTTTGCACTATAGAGTTAGACCCACCCTAAACGAGAATTTCCTTAACTTTTCCTAGGACTT